GTGTGTGTGTGTGTGTACATCTTGGATAAGAGCTGTATGTCACTACTGTGTGGTTGTCTACCTTTTGTAAACACTGTTTTTCCATTGAGTGTGACTGAAAGTTTGCTCCTGTGCTGTGTCCACTGTGTCTGTATCACAGCAGTCTGTGAGTTTATATGCACCTCACAATGTCTGTGTGTGTGCGTGGATTTTTTTTTTTGGCCGTAGGCTTCTTGAGCGGATTACAAGTTTTAAAGAGTAGGAGATTCAACACCTCCTCAAATCTGACACTGTCTGACACTGCTTTGAAGCTATGAAAGTGAGATTGGAAAGACATGGAAGCTCTTTTCTCTCCACAGAGTCATGGGTTTATGTCATTGGTTTGAAGCCAGTTAGGTTTCCATTGAAGCGTTGTGCCCCAGAGTGAAAGACAAAGCTGCCACTTAAAGTGTTTGACTTGTATCTTTTTTATGACTCTCAAAGGCCACTTTTAATGGCCTCCATATTTTTTGTTATGTAATTGTGTCTAATGGTATGTGACATCATTTATTTATGTCCATCTGCATTTGGGGCAGCTAGATAAGCTGCGGTTGTCTGCACTGCTAATGTGCCTCCGAGCCATGGTTGTGAGTGCTGCTCAGCTGCTGATTTTGATCTGAAAATTGTTAAAACTTCTCTGCAGAGATCAGTCGAATAACATTCTTTTAACTTTAAATATTGTGGTTGAAAGCAAGCAAGGCCCCACCTAAAACCTTAGTCCAAAAACAATAAAAAATAATAAATGTTAGCTTTGTAATCCAAATATGTAGGAAAATATTCATCAGTCTTGGCCGTGTGTAATGTTCACGAAGTAGGACTCGCTTTTAGAAGACTGTCAGGAGATGTTTGCCATTTTAAATGACTTCTATACTTGTACAGTACAGTAGATAGTCTTGTATTGCTCAAATTTAAAGGTAACCATTTCCAACCTTACTGCAGATTTGTTCTGTTGCTTAATACCTAAGATCGACTTTTCTAATTTTCCATTACCTATTCCCATGACTCCAGATCTTGAATCACATCCTACCAAAATCACATTCCTGACACCAAAAATCCTCCTCCTGACACCAGCACCAACAGTTACCTGGACGCTTCCATTCCCAGGATTCTTCCTATCTTGTCATTCAGGCATTGTAGTGAGCTTAACCCCCCTTATTTCTCTCACATCCTCTTCCATTTTTTTCTTTCTTTGCCCCGTCGGATGTATGTTGTTGACACTGAGGCATCAGGAATAAATGGAATCTCTTGTCAGTGGCTTGTATTTTTTGCGCAGGCTGTTTAAGGCTATATATAATAGTAGCAGAGCAGCAGGAAGAGGGGAGGTTATGTGCCACTGATAGTAATGAAGGTTGCCTTTTCATTTTTTAATATGGAATGTTTGTGGGCCGAGGCAATGCTCTCTGCTAATCCTACCCTTGAGCTGAGCTAGCTACATGGCTGTGTCAGTGTTACACACACACACACCCACACCCACAACCAGTGACATTCACACAGATAAAAGACAAACACACACAACACATACATGGGCACACCTTCCCTTAGGCAAGACAGCAAGCTGTATGATAAGTTAGGGTGCATTTCTGCTCTGCAAGAAAATTTCACTCCCCCCGTGTTTGTGTCTTAAGGAAATGCAACCAGTTCCTGTAAAAGAAGATATGGTATTCCCTCAAAATTTGATGGATATGAAAGCTTGAGTGCATAGATGTATTTGTGTACCTTTTTATTGGGAAAGAGCATAATGGGACAGCCTGGGCTGCCGATTGAGAAAATTACAGCAGTTTAGTTTGTGATGACTGTGGGATCACTGCTAGTTATGCACTGCCATCGCTGGATGAACACATCGCTCGTAGAAACTGGTTTCTCAGGAAGAAAAGACTTACACCAATGTGCATGTATTTTTGAAATGATAGATTCAACTGGTTTAAGAGGTAGTTAAATACCCAAAGTTGAGTAAATTGACTCTTAGCTAGGTAATTTTCTCAAGACATGACAATCCTTGATTTCTCCTCCACGTGTAATTGATTAAATACAGTAGTTTTTTTTTAACCTTTTTAAAGTGCAAATTATCAATCAAATCAACATTTATCTATATATAATTAAAACAACTAGGGATCAACTAAAGTGCTTTTCACAAGCCAAATAACAATAGAAATAAGATAAAATAAATGTAAAGACAAAAAACACAAGTATAGCACATATTTGTGTTTTTCTGTTTGCCCTGTTTGAATGTGGATGGGTGGGTTGATGCATCCGAGAGAGTGAGACTTAAAATCTGCATCTCCCACCTGCTAACATATGACCCCCCCCCCCCCGTGTTACTATGTCTGTTTGTACTTGTAGGGCTGTGTTTAGTTTTATCCTGTGGTGGTGAGGGTGTTTTGGCCAGTCCACTTTCTAAGACAACTTGCAAGGCCTGTGTCAGGGTTCAGACTTGGTTTTAAGGTTCAGGTTAGAGTGAGGTTTGGATTGTGGTTAGGTGTTAGGGTTGTGGTTAGGCATTTAGTTGTGATGGTTAAGGTTAGGGTAAGGGGCTAAGAAATGCATTGTGTTAGTGAGTGTCCTTTCAAAGACAGAAGCGCGTGTGTGTGTGCTTTTCGCCGGCTAAGGTACGGGGGGTGCACTGCTAGAGTGTGCTGCATGTCTAATTGCTTTAATGGCACCTGGTCTCTAATCCCAGGTAATTAGAGTGCTCAAATTAGACAGCTACTTTCAACTGTCGCTTGAAAAAGCAGAACTGGAAGGCCTGGAGGAAGACCACTCCTCACTGAAACTCCACAGACGTGCACACACTGTTTTTACTGACATGCATAAAATTGGTGGCAAAAGCAGAAGACAACTGGAGAAACAAGATTAGTTCAGTTCACCAGTGAGGCGTGTGTGTGTTCAGTTTGGATACTAACAGATCATTCAGTGATATATTTATGTAAAGTGACAAAATTATTTAATGGGGTTAAAAAAGACGATTCCTTGTTTATACTCTCTGCATTCACATACACTGCTCTCCTTACTTTTTATATTGTCTTTTTATATTGTCTTTTTTTGTTTGAGTAGCACGCACACATTGTTGAGGCTGCCTAAAGCGTGTCTGGAGAAGCTGTGGGGAAAGGCTAAGGCCCTCTTCTTAAGATGAGCCGGAAATGTCAAGTGTCCGCCCCTCGGGCTTGCGCTTCCGTCTTCCTGTACTGAGACTGCCATAGGGGCTGGCATGACTACACGCACACACACTGATACAAAGGTTAGGAGTTGCTATTAGAGATAGCCTCCAGTCTCTTACATCTGTTTTGGCTCCTGTGGCATCTCTGCAGGCTCCAGGATCATGATCAGAGTTTAAAACACAGCAATAGATGACCAAGACTCAAGAGGCATAAGAGAAATCCAGGTTCTTGTTGACTAACTTGCTGTGGTTCCTGTAATACCATTGTTTTCTTTATGCCTGCTGACATTTCAAACAGTCATATTTTAGTGTCATGCATCTACTTGCAACAAATACATCCATATATCAAAGGTTTGGCATCATTACTTTTGTCTTAGGATCAAAATACCACAAAGTAGATGTTGGCTTTATTTTTTTTTCCTGCACAATTTTCTGCAAGTTGTCATATGTTTTGCAAAAGGCTTTGCCATGCTGAGATAATTCTATCCCCAAATTTAAATGATGCACTTGTCCTAAGTTTTGGCTCCTATAACTTCTGTTTTGATTTCCTTTTTCTTGCTGTAGCAGAAGGCCACCAACAGAGGGGGTTGGTTAGCTACCATGAGCCTTGTTACAGTGCTGCAATTCAGGCAGTCATATTGTAGTGAGCTGTGTTTTCTCCAGGCCTTCCCTGTGTCTTTAAGATCAGCAGTTGTAAAGCTAACATCCCTTTTTATTCACTTTAGTAAAGGTTTGACTTTAGCCTTTTTTTTAGCCATCTTGTATTTTATGATGAGTACAATTTAAAACTTTACTTTTCACATTTATAAGCAGTGACATTTTCATCTTATTTTATGTAATGGTATTAAAACCTTTAAAAATCAAATCACACCTGATGAAACTTG